CCCCCCGTCCTCCTCCCGCCCTTCCCAACAAACCCCTCTCCAAGATGGCGCCGCTCGGCCGCTCCTTTGTCTTGGTGGTTTTTTTCTTCCTTCCTCCCCCTCCTTTTCCCCCTTAAATTGGCCTTTTTTCGAGGTTTTTTTGCAGGTCGAGCCCCCCCCCCTTTTGGCCGGGGGGGGGGGGGGGGGGGGCTCAGAACCCCCTGATTGAAGGAGGGTTCCCCCCCCCTCCCCTCGAATTTAATTGATTTAATTGACTTTATCCGAGGTTTCTCCGGCGGTTTTGCAGGGGGGGAGGATTTAACATCTTTCTCTTTTGTCTCTTGTGTCTCTGTGTGTGTCCCCCCCCCTTTATAAAAACCTCCCGAGCCCCCCCAGTTTGGGGCTTTTTGCAGCTCTAAAATGGCGCCGGGGCCTCGCCGCTGATGCAACACGAACCAAACCCCTCCCACCTCCCCCGCCCGGGCCCCCCCAAATTCCACCTTCACCCCCCAATCCTCTTCACTCCCCCCCTCAAAAAAACCCCCAAACCTTCTCTAACCCCCCCTTCCCTCCGCAGGACCCCCCCAGCCCCCCCCGGGCTGCTGCTGCCTCTGCAGCTCCTGTGCCCTCAGACCCTCAAACCTTTGCATTTTTAACTCTCCTTTTAACCCTTTTCTCCTCTTTTTTTCCTCGCTTTTTTTTTCCAAGGGGGGTGTTTTTTTTTTTAGGGGGGGGGTGTTTTGGGGAGCGCCGTGGGGGGAGGGAGGGGAGGCCTCGAGCGATTTAATAATTTCGATTTATCATTTAATTTGCCATTTAATTTATCGTGACAGGGAAATGCTACCACTGGGCTTCACACCCCCCCCAAGAAAATAGCCAGGTTTTTTTGGGGGGGCACAGGGGGGGCAACCCCCCCCCAAATGCTCAGTTTTGTCCCGGTTTTCAATGGTTTTGCCCCGTTTTGGCAGCGTGGAGGTGCAGGCTTAGGAAGCTTTACCTCAGCAAAGGGAGGGAACGGCCACAACCCGGGTAAGCAACAAACCTTTTTGGTCTTAATTACATTTCACAAACCCTCGCTTTGGAGCAGGTTTTTAATTCAGAAAAAAAAAAAAAAAAAACAATAATTCTCTTTTTTTTTTTTTTTTTAATTTCTTTTCCCCCTTTTGTCTCCCGGGATTTGGTTGTTTGTTGTTTTTTGTCCCCCCTTTCCTTTTCCAGTTTTAAACGAAAAAAAAGAAACCAAAACCAAACCCACCCAAATCTGGCAGATTTTGGTGCAAAACCCAGAGAAATGTCTAAAAATAATTGAGATTTTTGGTACTAAGAGCCTTAATTTGGGATTAATGGAGGCCTGGAAGAGCCCAGTGGTAGCATTTCCTTTTTTGGGGGGGTGGGGGTTCCCCCCCACTTCCCACGTGGTTTTGGGGTCTTCTCCCCCCTCAAAAAAGGTGGTTTTTGGGGTAAAATGCCCCAAACCCACAGTTTTGGGAGGTGGGGGGGGTCAGGCCTTGCTGGACCCACCCAGGGCCCCCCCCAAAGGTGATTTACCCCCTTCCTGGGGGGGTCTCGGTGCTTTTGGGGTCTCACCACCCCCTTTAACCCCCCCGGGGGGTCTCAGTGGTTTGGGGGGGGGTCTGCTCTGTGTTTGCTGCCCTGGGACCCCCAAAATGGGGAGGGGGGCCCTCAACCCCCCCAGTGCTGTCAGGGGAGGGGGCTGTGCCCCCCTTTCCCAGGGCTCTGCCCCCCGGGGGGGCCTTGAACCCCCCCAGGATATTTTGGGGGGGACACAAACCACGGGACCCCCCCAGGAGCCACCGGTGGCTCTTTTTTGGGGGGGGTCAAAGGTTCCAGTGGAATTTTGTGCTGAAACCCCCCAGTTTTGGTAAAAAGGAGTCACCCCCCCACAATTGGGGTTTTGGGGGGGTTTGTGCTGCTTTAAATTGTTGTTGTGTCTCTGTACAGGGTGGGGGGGTTGTGCTGACCCCCCCTAATTAATCCTCCACACCATTGGGGTCTGTCATTAATTATGGGGGGGGCGCTTAACGAACCCCCAGCTCGTTAAGGCCCCTCCAGGAGCAAAAAACAGCCTCTGGTTCAACCCCCCCCTTTCCCAAATATTGAGATTTTTGGGGTGTTTTCACCCCCCACCCTAAAAAAAACCCCCCCAGCCCCCCCTTGGTGCCCTCCTTAAGGAAACTGGGCCATAATTAAGCCGTAATTAACAGTGATTAAGTGATGTCAGAGCCTGAAACCCCCGAGGGGGGGTCATTAAGGGGGGTTTGGCCTTAATGAATGGGCTGTTAATGAGTAGTTTGTTCATTAGTCAGGGGTTTAATTAAGGGGTGGGGGGTGACACCCCCAAATGAGCACTTTGTCAAGGGCTAGCTCGTTAATTAACCCCTGGTTAATTAAAGTGGGGGTTGGAAAGGGGGGGGCTGTGCCCCCCCAGCCCCTCCCCCTGATACTGGGGGGGACTTTGGGGTCTGTGTCCCCCCCTCCCCCCCAAATGTGACCCCAAATCCTTCTGTTCCCCCTGGGGGGGCACAGCACTAATGTGTTAATTAGTGTGTTAATTAATGTGTTAATGAGTGACACAAACCAGGCCACGGTGTCATTGGGGGGGCTGTGACCCCCCCCCCCGTGTCCCTTGGGGGTCCCTCGTGGTGGCAGCTCCGCTTTGGGGCCATTTCCTGCAGTTTTGGGGCCATTTCCTCCTTTGGGGGGCTCAATTCCTTCCTTTTTTGGGGTCATTTCCCTCCTTTTTGGTACTTATTTCCCCCTCTTTTAAGGACAATTTCTTCCACTTTTGGGGTTGATTCCTCCCTTTTTTGGGGTTGATTCCTCCCTTTTTTTGGGGTTGATTCCTCCCTCTTTTGGGGTTGATTCCTCCCTCTTTTGGGGTTGATTCCTCCCTTTTTTGGGGTTGATTCCTCCCTCTTTTGGGGCTCTTTTCTCCTTTTTTAGAGTCGAGTTCCCCCTTTTGGGGCTTTTAATTTCTTCCTTTTTGGGGGATTATTTCCTCCTCTTTTTGGGTCAGTTCCCTGCTTTTTGGGGTTTAATTCATCCTCTTTTAAGCACAATTCCCCCCAATTTTTGGGGCTTGATTTCTGCCCTATTGAGGGGGACAATTTTCTCTGTTTCTGGAGTTTACTGTCCCTTTTTGGGCTCAATTTTCTCACTTTGAGCTCCATTTCCTCACTTTGGGGAGTGATTTCCCTCTTTTTGGGAGGGGATTTCCCTCTTTTTTGCCCTCTTTTTTTGGGCTCCATTTTCTCTGTTTGGGGCTCAATTTCCCCCTTTTTTGGGTTCAGTTTCTTCTGTTTTGGGCTCAATTTCCCTCCTTTTTGGGCTCGTTCGTCCTCTGTTTGGGGCTTAATTTCCCTGTTTTTTGGGCTCAATTTCCTCGTTTTTTGGGCTCAATTTCCTTCTGTTTGGGCTCAATTCCCCCCTTTTTTAGGCTCGATTTCCCCCTTTTTTGAGCTCATTTTCCTCTATTTTGGTCTCAATTCCCCCTTTTTTGTCCCCAAGCCCCGCCTGTCCCTGTCAGGGGTTGTCCCTCGGGGGGTGTCCCCTCCATGGGGGTGTCCCCTCCTCTCTGGGGGTCCCAGGGGGGTCTCACCCCTCTCTTTGTCCCCCCCAGGCTGTTCCTGCCATGGGCTCTGGCCCCATCGACCCCAAGGAGCTCCTCAAGGGCCTCGACTGCTTCCTGGGCCGGGATGGAGAGGTCAAGACCATGGATGGCATCTCCAAAATCTTCAGGTGAGACCCCCCCCCGCCGCTCCCCCCGCCCATTGGAGGCAGTTTTTGGGGCCCTGACCCCCCTTGTTTCCTCTGCAGCCTGATGAAGGACTCCCAGAAGATGGTGAGTCGCTGCATCTACCTGAACATCCTGCTGCAGACCCGCGCCCAGGACATCCTCAACAAGTGAGCTGGGGCTGCCCTGGGGCCTGTGAGGGGGGGATTCCCACCCTTTTAGCCCAATCCTCATGGAATTGTGCCCCCTCTCCTCCCAGGTTCATCAGGATTGGGGGGTACAAGCTGCTCAACACGTGGCTCACGGGCTCCAAGGCCTCCAACAACGTCCCGTTCCTGCAGCAGATCCTGCTCACGCTGCAGCACCTCCCGCTCACCGTCGACCACCTCAAGCAGGTGGGGGGGCTCTGGGGACCCCCGGGGGGGGTTGGGGACCCCCAGAGTGGCTCCTCTCTCCTTTGGATCCCCCAGAGTGGCTCCTGTCACCTCTGAATCCTCCTCAGGGATGGCTTTGGTCTCCCTGAGGTGGCTTTTGGGGCCCCTCGGCTGGTTTTTGGATCCCCCAAAGTGACTTTTTGTCCCCTTTGTGCCCCCCCAAGGTGTCTTTTGCCTCCTTTGGGTCCCTTTGGGGTGGTTTCTGTGTCCCTAAGGGGGGGTTTTGGCTCCTCAAGGTGTCATTGGGGTTCCCTCAGGTGGCTTTTGTCTCCCTGGGGTGGATTTTGGGTCCCCCTGGGATCCCTTTTGCCCCCTGACTCCTCTCCTGGTTTGCAGAACAACACAGCCAAGCTGGTGAAGCAGCTCAGCAAGTCCAGTGATGATGAGGGTGAGTGAAACCCCCCTGAGACCCCCAAAAACCCTCCCTCAAACCCTCCTGAGACCCCTAACCCCCACCTGGGACTTCCAAAAGCCCCCCTCAGACCCCTCAACTTCCCCTACAAACCCCCAAAACCCCTCATGAGATCCCCCCAAACCCCTCTGAGACCCCCCAGAACCCCCCTCAGGCACAAACCTCCCCTGAGACCCTCGACCCCCCTCAGATCCCTCAAAACCCCCCTCAGACCCCCCCAAACCTCCTGCTGGTCCCGTGCCCCGATCCCTGCTGGATTAATTACCGATTAATTACCGATTAATTAATGATTAATGACTGATTTGCCCCCCAGAGCTTCGCCGCCTCGCCTCCATCCTGGTCAGCGACTGGATGGGTGTGATCCGTTCCCAGAGCAGCTCCCAGCCCACAGGTGAGACCCCAAATCCCCCTGAATTCCCCCCAAAATCCCCCCAATTCCCCCCACCACTGCCACGTGTCTCCTCCCCCCAGAACGGGACAAAAAGAAGCGGAAAGAGGAAAACAAAAGCAAAACCCCCGTCCAGGAGAAGCCCCAGGAGGCCAAAAACGAGGCCAAGAATGAGGAGGTGCCGGAAAAAAAGAGGGAAAAGCCCAAATCCCTTCGGACCACGGCCCCCAGCCACGCCAAGTTCCGCTCCACAGGTAAGGCCGGGGGGGGTTGGGGCTGGTTTGGGGGATTCGGGGCTGGTTTGGGGAATTGGGGCTGGTTTGGGGGATTCAGGACTGGTTTGGGGGAGGATTTGGGAATTGGGAGCTGGTTTTGGGAATTTGAGGCTGTTCTGGAGGTTTGGAGCTGGTTTGGGGGGGGCTGATTTTAGGGATGAGTTTGGAGCTACTTTTGGGGTTTTGGGGCTGCTTTTTAAGGGTTTTGGGGGGCTGGTTTTTGGGATTTAGGGTTGGTTTTAGGGATTTCTGGGGGCTGGTTTTAGGGGTTTGAGGTTGATTTTAGGGGTTTTGGGGGGCTGTTTTTTATGGTTTAGGACTGGTTTTGGGGGGCTGGTTTTTGGGGTTTAGGGCTGGTTTTAGGGGTTTTGGGGGGCTGGTTTTTGGGATTTGGGGCCGTTTTGAAGTTTGAGGCTGATCTGGGGAATTTGGGGGGCCCTGCTGGTTTCTGGGGAGCCCTGGGGGGCCCTGCTGGGTTTTGGGGTGCCCTGGGACCACCCTGACCCCGTTGTCCCCCCAGGGCTGGAGCTGGAGACGCCGTCGCTGGCGCCGGTGAAGAAACTCAACTCGGGGGTCTCCGACAAGTACAACCTGAAACCCGTCCCCGTCAAGAGGCAGAAGTGAGTCTGGGGGGCTCCTGGGGGGCTCCCAGCTGCTTTGGGGGGCTTGGGACCCCTTTTGGGGGTTTCAGAGCTACTTTGGGGGCTTCTCAGACTCACTTTTGGGGGTCTCAGACTCACTTTTGATGGTCTCAGACCCACTTCTAAGGAATTTGGGACCACTTTGGAGGGTCTTGCCCCTTCTCTTGGGGATCTTGGACTCACTTTTGGGGGTTCAATCTATTTTTCCAGGGTCTGGAACCCACTTTTGGGGATTCTCAGACCCAATTTTGGGAGTTTTCGGTTCAGTTTTGGGGGTCCTGACCTGTTTTCCCCCCCCCAGTGCCCCCTCAGGCCCCGGGGAGGCCCCTCTGGCAGAGAAGAAATACAAACCCCTGAACACGGCGCCCAACGCGGCCAAGGAGATCAAAGTGAAGATCATCCCCCCCCAGCGTGAGTTTGGGGGCGTTTGGGGGACACCTGGAGGGGTTTGGGGGGTCTGGGAGGGGTTGGAGTGGGGTTTTGGGGGGGGTTGGGATGATTTAGGTGGTTTTGGGTGATTTCTGGGTGTCGTTTTGGGGGCCTCAGTCACCCCCAAACGGGACCCTTTTTGGGGACACTTTGGGTGCCATTTTGGGGACAGTTTAGGTACCATTTTGGGGACACTTTGGGTGCCATTTTGGGGGACATTTAGGTACTATTTTGGGGACAACTGGAATGGTTTTGGGTGATGCCTGGATGGCATTTTGGGAATGATCTGGGTCCCCTTTTGGGGAGGATTTAGGAGCTGTTTTAGGGACACTTCAGGTGCCATTTTGGGGGTGATTGAAGTGCCATTTTGGGGTGATTCAGGTGGTGTTTTGGGGTGATCGAGGTACCATTTTGGGGGTGATTGAGGTGGTGTTTTGGGGTGATTCAGGTGCCATTTTGGGGTGATTCAGGTGGTGTTTTGGGGTGATCGAGGTGCCATTTTGGGGTGAATTTTGGGGTTTTCTCCCTCAGCCATGGAAGGTCTCGGGTTCCTGGACGCCCTGAACTCGGCGCCCGTCCCGGGCATCAAGATCAAGAAGAAGAAGAAAGTTCTGTCCCCAACAGCAGCCAAGGTGAGGAACCCCTGGAATTTGGGGTCCCCCTCTGGAATTTGGGATGATTTTTGGGGCACTTTGAGTCCCTTTTTGGGGACCACTTGGGTGCCATTTGGGGAAAACTTCTGTGTCCCTTTTTGGGGCCATTTGGGTGCACTTTTGGGGGACCTCGTGTCTCTTTTGGGGGACCACTTTGAGGACCTTTTTGAGGGGCACTTTGGGAACACTTTGCCATTTTGGGGAATGTTGTCCATTTTTGGGACTGTTTTGGAGAACACTTTTAGTCCCTTTACGGAGAACAGTTTTAGCCCCTTTTTGGGAACACTTTTAGTCCCTTTTTGGGGACCATTTGGTACCATTTTGGGGGGACCCTTTGGGTGCCATTTTAGGAACAGTTTGAGTCCTTTCATCGGAACTCTTTGGGTGCCATTTTGGGACCTTTTCGGGGCCATTTTGGGGAACGCTTCGAGTCCCATTTTGGGCCGTTTTGGGGTCAAACGCCGTGTTTTTGGGTCTGACCCCTGTGCTGTGCCCCCCAGCCCAGCCCCTTCGAGGGGAAGCCGCCCCCCGAGCCCAGCACGGCCAAACCCTCGTCCCCGGAGCCGGCGGCGGCCGAGCCCATGGACACGGAGCGGCCCGGGACGCCCGTGCCCGCCGTCGAGGTGCCCGAGCCCATGGACACAGGTACCCACGGGGGGGTTTGGGGGGTCAGTGAGGCCTGGGGGGCTTCTTGGGGCAGCTGGGGGGGGTTGGGGATGGTTTGGGGGCGGTTTGGGTGGAGCTGGGGGTGTTTGGGGCAGTTTTAGGAGGGTTTGGGGACACCCGGGGGCCTTTTGGGGAACACTTAGGGAGCCATTTTGGGGTCACTGTGTCCCTTTTGGGGATGATTTGGTGCCCTTTTGGGGACCCTTTGGCAGCCATTTTGGGAGCACTTTGGGAGCCATTTTGGGGTCACTGTGTCCCTTTCTGGGACCATTTGGTGCCATTTTGGGAGCACTTTGGGAGCCATTTCAGGAATGCTTCAGGTGCCATTTTGGGGTCACTGTGTCCCTTTTTGGGACCATTTGGTGCCCTTTTGGGGACCCTTTGGCAGCCATTTTGGGAGCACTTTGGGAGCCATTTTGGGGGTCAGTGCGTGTCCCTTTTTTGGAAACACCCTGGCAGCCATTTTGGGAGCCCTTCGGACGCCATTTTAGGAACGCTCGGGTGCCGTTTTGGGGTCAAACCCCCCGTGTTTGGTGTCCCCTCACATCTGACCCCTCTTGTGCTCCCCAGGCTCGGCAGAGGCCGGGGGTGACCCCAAGGGCCCCGATGCCCCCTCGGAGGGGGGTCCGGCCCCGCGCCGGCCCCGCAAGAAGAAGACGGTGTCGTGGCCGGACGAGGCCCGGCTGAGGGAGTATTTCTACTTCGAGCTGGATGAGACCGAGCGCGGTGAGAGCCCACCCTGACCCCACAGATCCCTTCCAATCCCCCTGCCACCCCTCGGAATATCCACCAGGACCCTCCCAGAACCCCCCTGAGTCCCCTCAGGATCCCCTCAGGATCCCCTGGAACTCCCTGATTTTCCCCTCTGGATTCCCTCAGGACTCCCTGGGAGGACCCAGATGCTTTGGAGGCTGTTTTGAGACCATTTGAGGGCCTTTCTGGCAACATTTTGTGCTTTTTTTGAGGGATTTTGAGTCCCTTTTTGGGGAAGCTTTGGGCGCCATTTTGGGGACCATTTGAGTCCTTTTTTGGGGACTGTTTTGAGACCTCTTTGAGTCCATTTTTGAGAACCATTTTGGGGAGCATTTGAGTCCATTTTTGGGGAGCATTTTGGGGACCATTTGAGTCCCTTTTTGGGGACCATTTTGGAAACACTTTTGACTCCCTTTTCTGGGACCCTTTGAGGGTCATTTTGAGACCTCTTTGAGGGCCGTTTTGGGACCCTTTGAGGGCCATTTTGAGAACACTTTGGGGGCCATTTTGTGAAGACTTCAAGCCAGACAAAACAGAATGTGTCCCTGGGACCCCCCAAAAATCCCAACCCCCCCAAACCCCATCCCTGACCTCCACCCTTTCCCCACAGTGAATGTGAACAAGATCAAGGACTTTGGGGAGGCGGCCAAGCGGGAGATGCTGAAGGACCGTCACGCCTTCGAGACGGCGCGGCGCCTCAGCCACGACTCCATGGAGGAGAAGGTGCCCTGGGCCTACCCCAAGGCCCTGGACCTGCCGGCCCCGCTCGTTGTGCCGGGCAGCGGCAGCCGCGAGCGCTTCACGCAGGCCGAGCGCGTCAAGGGCATCCTGCAGGAGATCTTCCTCTCCAAGGAGAGGTACGGGAGGCCCGGGGGGCTGGGGAGGGGGGATGTGGCCGGGAATTCTCGGTGTCTCGATTGTCCAGCACCAGGGATTTATGAGGGGGATTCGGGCGCCATTTTGGGGTGATTCGGGCGCCATTTTGAGGGGATTCAGGCGCCATTTTGGGGTGATTTGGGCGCCATTTTGGGGTGATTTGGGCGCCATTCTGAGGCGATTCAGGCGCCATTCTGAGGCGATTCAGGCGCCATTTTGAGGCGATTCAGGTGCCATTTTGAGGTGATTTGGGCACCACTCTGAGGTGATTTGAGAGCTCCTTTGAGATGAATCAGGAGCCATTTAGGGATGAACTGGGAGACATTTTTGGGACGCTGGGGTCCAGAACTCTGGGATATGTGGGAATCTGAGCATCCAGATCTGGGAATCCCTCAGGATCCAGGGATCTGGATTTGGGTACACGTGGGTATCTGAGGATCCAAGGATCCAGGTCTGGGAGTCCCTGTGGATCTGGGGCTCCAAATCTGTGCCTCTGGAGCCGGCTGGGACCCCCTGACCCCTTTTCCCCCCCTTTTCCCCCCCAGCATTCCCGACAGCCCCCACGAGCCCGACCCGGAATCCTACGAGCCACTTCCCCCCAAACTGATCCCCATGGACGAGGTGAGCCCCCCCAA